AGCATATACAGGCATGCCAGTAGCACCTATCAGGAACACCTTAAACTAAACACAACCTTTCCTGGATCATGCACTAACTGTGGAGGGCAGCTGGGCAAGATATCCTTGATATTACATATCTGCATCCTATGAAATCAGTACAAAACTATTGAATTTTGTGGAGCAGGAATTCATAGGATTGGTAATATGGTCTGGGTCATTAATGCTCTTATTTATTCTTAACAGTCTTTTCTGTACATTTGGACCATCTGAAGAAATTTCAGGAGGATACACTGCCACTATGGTCATTTTCCAGCCACCGTGTAATATTGCACCCTAATTTAATAGACATGACTTTCAGTTAGATTTTCCAATTTAATTGGGGTACCTTTTGCAGTAGAATGTAAACACAATTAACAGATTACCTTTTCGCCTTTGCCGCCCTTCAGCCCTCGGACACCATCAGCACCCTAAGAAAATGCAGATGACAACGGTCAGGTGACCAGATAGGTTAAAATGTATACTAAGTTGATTGCTTATCAGACATAAACATAACGTTATAATACATAATGTACCTTTACACCACGGGGACCAGGATAGCCAACTGGACCCTGAGGACCTGGAGGCCCCTGGAAAAGATTAGATTGCATTTAGATTATACTTGTGTGATGTTTAAACAAGAGACACGTACCTGTTGATGCTACACATTTACTTTTTCAAAGTAGCAGCAGTTGTTGTTTTGAGCATGCTTTCTTAACATAATCTAAAGCAGGGTTCCTCAACCTTGGCCACTTTAAGATGGGTGGACTTCAACTCCCAGAATTCCCCAGCCAGTGGGGAATTCTGGGGGTTGAAGGCCACCCGGCGTAAAGGGGCCAAGGGTGAGGAAACCTGATCTAAAGGATTCAGTCATAAAATATCCAGAGATTTGTTAACTTATGGCAACTGTGATTACTAAGAAAGGCTTTTCAGGTGTACTGGTACATAAACATGGAATTTTAAACAGAGGCTACAGTAAACTGTG